TCATCATCATCATCATCATCATCATCATCATGGTTGTCGTTATCATCGTCACCGTCATCGATGTGGTAGGTATAGCGGGATTACACAACAGACGGTACTATACTATACCGTGACCGTAGCGGTACATACGGTATGCGTTGTCCGAGTTCGGCTGACGACTGCGCTTACGCGGAGAACTTGCTACACGTCGTCATCCTGGGCTTGCTTTGCTGCAGGTCGCAAGCAATGCCTGCAGAGAGAAAGAGAGAGAGAGAGTAGAGTCAATTGCCCAGGCGGGATGTCGGGGCGGGGGAAGGGGCTGAGAGTCTGGTACATGGCGGGTGTAGTGGGTGCAGTGTTGTGTTTGGTGAAGGTTGGAGTTGGTTTACTTGCTCTGTGAGTAGGGACGTGTGTATGGGCAATGGTTCTGTTTGGGGAGGGAATAGCGAGCAGTCGTTCAATGGAGAGGTATCAAACCTGATCGCTGGGTGCGGCAAGGAGATTTCTTGATACCTAGCTCATCGCAGGCTATCATGTCTTGATTGTAAATTGGGATTATCGCTCAGAGACCCCGTCCTGCGTCGTACAAGCACTGTAGTGGGCTACTTGTGTGCATCTCTCCGGGGCTACGAGGTGAGCCCGCTGTCAGCTGGGATGGACTGTCGATCACCAGCGAACCAGTCATCTCCTTCATCTCTGGCGTGCAAGTCAGTGGTCTCGGAATCCTCCAGATCCGACATCCAAGCCTGTCGACAATCTCCAATCGCGCCGAACAATCTCAGGGTCCGGCGATCTTATCTCCGCACGACGGGACGGCGGAGTAATCTTGATGGATGCGAAATTGCTTGGTAGACTGCAAACGGCTGCGAAAGAAAGAGGCCGCAAGGTTGATCCCAATGGCTACATGCAGAGAGTATGGTATGTTTTCCGCCGCTTCACTAGTAGAGCAAAGGGATCAAACGATACGGTGTGTCCTTCTTGAACTGTTCCCAACCAGCCCCATACCGTTTCTCGCAATACTCATTCAAAATGGGAATGGCGCGCGTCCCGAAATCCCAGGCCAAGAACGCGCCGACGAGAGCTCCGAGCGTGTATCCACCGCCAACCATAGCATACCCAGTCCGCCACATGGTGTACCCACCATAGTTGATGTGTCTTGCAAACTGCCACAGGCCCCCAGTGTACGCCCTCCCTTTGTTCTTTGGATCCGCCTTGAACCGCTTACGCTGGATCTCAGCAACAAGTTCCGTGAGCAGTCCAACCACGTACAGCCTGCTGCCAATGATCAGGGCCGGCTGAGGAAAGGTAGACTCCCTCGAAGCAGAGGTAGCAGATAGCAAAAAGGCATAAGAGCTCATGCTGTTGACCACAGCATTATAGACTCCCAAAGCGAGAGCACCTCCCACAGGCATTGGCTCTCCCGACAAGGTCGTAACCCAGATATTCTGCTTCACGGCCGCGCCAACAGCCATGCCAAACAGCACTAGCCGATACGGCGACAACTGCAAGCCATCAATGATTGTGAACCCAGTGCGCGCTGGCAGTCCTGGGGCAAGCGTGCGCAAGCCCACGCGCTGGAAAAGAGAGGTCCCCAGGCCATGGGCGAGAATCGAATATTGCAAAATGGGTTCCAAGCCCCGTGCGAGAAAGAAGACTGTTTTGCCGGCAGGAGTGGGTGTATAATCCCCTCGTGCAATGAGGTCCTTTTTCTTGGACGCCTCTGAACGAGGGTCCTGCACACTAGCTCGTGCTCCAGGCATGGTGTAGATGAAGAGTAATTGCGCCTTGGGTATGGAACCAGTTACATTTGGTGCCGATAGGCTTCAAAGAGGTAGTACAAGTGTACAAGTATTATTCCTGGTCGTCGGTGATGTTGCTTGGGAAAGTCTTCCTACAAGATGTTGGCGAGTCTGTAAACAGAGCGGAGGAGCTTTCACCCGATGACGTGGAGACTAAATCGTTTCGGCCTTTGTGTACCGAAGAGAGACACGGCTATTTTCAAACATCCTACTTGGAAAACAGTTGGTCCAGCGCTTCACTCACGGATCCGAAGACCAAATGGAACATCGCAACATACGCACTATGGTATCATACCATGTGAGAGTAACGACGATGGCCAGTCGGTCCGAGTTACGAGACTTCCAGACCAAAGCAGGCTAGCCAAGTCGCGTGTTCCCGTGATTACCCGAGGACAAAGCGCGTGTACCCCACCACGCTTTCTTTCACAATCCGCGAATTGCTTCAGAACTTGTCTTTGTGTACACATCTCTTCTTTGTGGTTTGTTCCATTGTAGTCTTTTTGTTCTTGGGATCCTCGTCCAGACTTACCTAATCACTGTTGGCGCAACCATGGTGGACTTTCCTGGTCTTGAGTCGGGGTTTCGAGGACTTGAGCACTTTTTCGTTGCTTTTCCAGGTCAAAGAAGTCAGGTTTCATACTCGTATTGTCTCCAGTGAATTGCAGAATTCCTTGCTACTTTCGGAACGGCCTCTTGTGCAGATATCACTATCTTCTCTTCTCTACTCCTGGAACCAGCACTTTGATCCGACTTTATCTATTACCTGTCTGCTTAATTTTACTCCGGCAGACCCAATTTGCCTATACCATATTCAATACCGATGACTGTTACTTTTGGAGCGATTTGCGGTTTGCTGCAAAGCATTGAGAAGATCACCTCGCAAAGGCCACAACCCCGACCGAGGCAAATTGCAGAGAGCAAGCGTCAAATCATACGCAACTGGTTTGAGAACCAACGCGATAGTCTTGATGACCCAGGTACGGATGGCGGCGCAGTTCTATCTGTGATCTTTCCGCATCGAAGAAAAGATCGAGTCTATGGTATCGGACCACCACGCCTTGCCAAAAAGCTCATCCGCTTATTGCGTCTGAACCACAATCAAAAGGCGATTTTTGATGGCTGGAATAGCGGAACCCTCGGTGATCTAGGGGTCTATGCGGAGAAAGCATTACAGTCCCGTGATGGCACGTTCCAAGCCAAACCTATTATTCCAATTGAACATATCGATCGACTACTTGGTCAGCTGGCTGCGAAATCAAGGTTCTCAGACGCTCTGATCCGGAAGAAAGGCAACGGTGAGACGAATACTGACGCGGAGCTCAATAACATACTCATTCGACTTGACTCGTGGGAAGTGAAGTGGCTGGTACGTCTGATTCTCAGAGACTACTGCACGATAGATATAGACGAAGAGTTCGTCTTCCAGCAGTACCACTTCCTCCTGCCTGATCTTTTGAATTTCCAAAATGACTTTGACGCGGTCTCTGGAATGCTCCGAGGCGAGTTAAGCGGCTATCCTGCACATCCGAATCATACCCGAGAGCATGAAATGCGAATCGAAGCAGCGAAGAAACTTTGTGCCGTAGTTGGCATTAAAGTTGGTCGCCCGACGTTTCACAAAGCTTGGGTATGTCTTTGTAAACTTGCAGACTCAAACTCATAAATAGCTAACCGGTGTGCAGTCATTCAACAATTGCATCAAGCTAGTCGGCAATCGAGCTTGGGCGGCTGAAGTCAAATACGACGGTGGTAATTATCCCATTGGTCTACACTACGCGTATATATCTTGACATGTACTAACATATATAGAATACTGCGAGATTCACATCGACCTCGAGAACGTCTCAAACAAGATCAAAATCTTCTCAAAGAACGGCAAGGACGCTACGGCGGATCGTAGAGCTTTACACAGCCCTATTCTTGAAGCCCTACGCATTTGCCAGCCGGATTGTCGTTTCAAGAAGCAATGTATCCTTCTAGGCGAAATGGTCTTGTACAGCGATAGGGAGAAGAAGATCATGCCTTTCTCCAAGATCAGAAAACACATCTCTCGCTCAGGCTCCTTCATTGGCACACTCCAGGACTCCTTGCCACACGAGTGGGAGCATCTCATGATTGTGTTTTTTGACGTTTTGAAAGTAGACGACAAGGAGGTCCTACGTCATTGCCTCCAGGATCGTCGATTGATTCTGCGAGATCTCGTCCGTATCACACCGGGTCGGGCGATGCGCTCAGAATGGACACTGCTCGACTTCAAGACAGGGGACGGCATTACGGACCTCAAGCAGGCTTTTGCCCGCACACTTGCCGAACGCCAAGAAGGTCTGATTCTGAAGCCGCTTCATGCGCCCTACTTTCCGTTGCTTTCGGAGCAGGGGTATGCCAAATCAAGTTTCTTCATCAAGTTGAAGAAGGACTACCTAAGCGATATGGGCGGCGAGCGCGATTTGGGTGACTTTGCCGTTATTGGAGCAAGCTACGACGCGCAGATCGCTCCAAAATCCAATATCAAGCCGTTACATTGGACACATTTCCACCTGGGATGTTGTACTAATCTAGGTGACGTGCAGCGATCAGGAGCAAGGTCAAAATTCAAGGTCGTTGCCAGTCTAAGCCTTGACAAATGCATACCAAAGCCGGATGTAAAGTACCTCAACATCCAAGGATATGTGCGTCAATCTGCCTTGCGGGCAGACGGCTCTACCAAGGAATTTGACATTGAGCAGTCAAAAGGAATTTGATCGGCGCATGACTGTCGCATTCAAGGAGCCCGTTCGTCGTAGAAGTCCTAGGAGGTGGGTTGGAGAAGCTTCAAAACGAGAAATTCGAAATGCTTCGCCATCCCCGCATCAAGAAGATCCACCAGGATCGGACATGGAGAGACAGCGTCACCCTGAAGCAGCTTGAACAAATGGCCGAGGACAAATGGGAGATACCCGACGCCGACCAACTAGACGGCCACGCAAAACATGTGGCCCTGCTAGCCAAAAGATACATGAAACAGGCACACCCTTCTCAAATCTCAATCGCAACGGACAACTCCTCGCAAACATCCCAACAAACAACCCAGCGCAGCTCTCAGGAAACACCCGTACACATCGCCACTGACGCCATAGTCCCCGAAACCCAGGAACAAACATGCGCATCCTACTCCTCCACCCAATGGTCCATAGACGGCAGCACACAAGGTCTAGGTCTCCGCGCCTCCCACGAGACCCGCCTCCTCATACCCCAGGACCCCGCTGAACACCTCCCCACCGCACCCTCTCCAACCCCAAACCCCCCCGCCCGGATGAAGCCCTCCACACACACTGCAGGCCGCGTACGCATACCGCCATCAAGCAGGAAACGCAACTCCTCCTCCACAAGCGCCATCAGCCCGCCCAAACCCAAAAGAAGCAGAGTCCTCAGCCCACTGCACGATGTGCGCAGTAAGCAGAATCTGGGCTCGTTTGGGTTCGATGCTGAGGAGCAGGTTATACATGTTTATGCCAAGGAGGGGGTGAGCGTGTTTGTGCATGCTGCTGATGGGGCAGGGGGGGACGAGTGTTGAATTTCCTGTTTGAATTTTTTGTAGGGGGGATGGCTTGCGTATTTCTTGTTTATTGTGATACCCCGTGTTTTATTTCTGTGCTTGGGATAAAGGGTGGTGGGTGGGTTGATGTATTGTTTTGACCTTTGTGTATAGGTTTATCGCTAGGGCTTGGAGTGTTTGTGCTGAGCTACACTTCAGGGTAGTTTAGAGTATTCGGTGCGTATACGATTGATCATCTAGCCTTATACCTTGATCGTCTCTGTTGCCCTTTTATCTACCTGTCTTGATCCTATCGATACCTTTTATCAAGGGATGCAGTTTCTCATCACTTTCTCAACCAAGACATGCCACGTCAAATTGATAGAAAACATATTCACCACCTAACCCCCTAACACACTGTCTTGCATTCCCAAGCGCAATTACATCCTGCCATGATGGATTGTAACTCTTTCTGTGGACACCACTGGGAGGTTTGACAGTGCACGGTTTGTGCTTATCATGTAGATGGATATATGAGAGGTTTTGGGTGTATAGTAGTTAGTCCTGATAACACCTGCATGCATCAGCACTTTCAGCGTGCCTGGGCCTTTTTAGAATGTGTGTGGTATGACTGTGTATGGTACCTATCTAGCCTCTAGAGCCCGCATTTCATGTGACTGTCATCGTGTTGAAGACTGGTGGATATTATACTTTTATCCACTTTCACAGAAGCAAGAATACTGTTCAGCAAGTATTATACATGTTGCAACTTCAAGGCCCCTCGCAGTCTCTCTCTTTCTCTCGCTCTTTGCGCCCTATTGTAGCATGCTAGTCTACGGAAGCGAGCTTACATACATGGATCGACATACCCAACTGCCAAATACAGTATAATCAACCTCGAAGGCAGTGTTAGGCATCCAAACTCTAAAGGACGTGGCAGGGCGGGAATTTATATGGGCGCACCTAATATATGTATATGTATATATAGATGGGCATAGTTCTCACAGCAAAGGGATATATGTATATGTATATATAGATGGGCATAGTTCTCACAGCAAAGGGATCTCATTTCCCAGGTAATCTACCACAATGGAAGAAATCTTTCACACCCCTCGACTCAAGCTCACGCTCGTGAAAAGTGCGGAGAGGGGAAGTCGAGAGCTAGAATGGCTTCATGAGATAAGAAGCAACGAGCAAACTACCTGGTGGAGGTAAGTACCCCTTCTCCACATCTTCCAAAAGAACACCCGGCCTTGCTCATCAAACCGCTCACAAAAAAAACCCCCTTCCACTAGCATCTACGGTCGCTCCCAAACGCTCGAGGACACGGAAAAAGTAATCCAAGGCATCCTCCCTCTCCCAGCCACGCAATCCCAGAAAAACCCCTGCCGCATCGTCTACGCCGTCCACGAAATCCTCGCAGCACACAGCGAGGCGACAAACCCTGAAGAGCGACCAACCCGCATAATCGGCCTTGTAACGCTCCGCTCCCTGGACGCCAGCAACCTCGCACTACCACCCCAGTTATTTCCAGCTTGCACGCAAACGCCCTCCTCCCCCGTCCTCACCCTCGAACTCGGCTACCTGTTCTTGCCTGCTGCATGGGGCAAAGGCTACGGCACCGAGTCTGTCAGCGCAGTCTTTGCGGCATGTCAACGGGCATCAGGTGTTTGGGCTGCGTGGGACAAGATCTATGTACGTGCTATCGTGAATGCAGAGAACCCAGCGAGTCGCCGGGTTCTGGGGAAAGTTGGGGTGCCCTTGTTGGGCATGTATGAGTGGGAGGGGAAGGCTGTGTATTTGGCGGGGGAGTGGAGGGAGAGAAGTGATTTGTGTGTGTATGGGATGTTTTTGGTTGGATGAAGGGGGGGAAGGGGGGGTTGGTTTGTCGAGTGACTTTTGAATTTTGAATTTGGGAATCGGGTCAGGGGGTTGTGATGATGATACTGCGCGGATGATAGATAGTTGGCGTGGAGAGAAAGTTAGCATCAATTCGGTGATGTGAGAAATGGATGCGAAGAGCGGGGCAGCAGTAGGTTACGCGGCTAAAACCGCATAATGTTAGCGTCTTGGCTTCTCCGAAACTCCGAATAACTTTTGAGAGCAATCGCGACAGCAGCACATATAACCCGGCCTGCAATGGCACATCCACGATCGCTCCGAGCTCCTCTGAGTAGACTCACCATCTCCTCCATAGTCTACTCAACGTCCAGCCTCCCCAGATTCAGCGCAATATCGTACCAGACAATACGGAGTGCGTCCGAATTCACCAAGAAGAAGAAGAAGAAATCCAATGAATATAAACAACATGATTTGAGGAAAGCCGATCAATTCTGTCTGCTCGATGCTATGCAGTACGTTCTTTTCCAAGCCCTGCTCGTGGGCGTGGGGGGAGGAGGCATTGGGGCCCATGTGGGATGGGGTTGAGCTTTGCTAAGTGTGCGAACAGTTATATCCGCGCTTTCGAAGTCGGCCAGGTCCACGCGGGTTCGAAATATGAAGTGCATGTCCGACTGGCGACGCTGAGAAATGCGCCCGCGATTCGAACTCGTCTACGGCTTCCGCATAGGGTCAAGCTAGATGCTCGATTCGCCGTCCTCGCTGCTCCAGACTCGACGGCCGCCGCTGAGGCTCGCGCGGAGGGCATCACGCTCGTTGGGGAAGACGAGATCCTTGATCAGGTCAAGGAGGGCAAGATAGAGTTTGATCGCTTGCTTTGTCATATCGACAGTCTGCCCAAGCTGAATAAGTCGGGGGCGGCGCGGATTTTGGGTCCCAAGGGATTGATGCCGAATACGAAGACGGGGACGTTGGTCACGCGCATGGGACCTACGTTGCGGACCATGTTTGGTACGAGTGAATACAGGGAGAAGGATGCAGTGGTTAGGTTGGCGGTTGGGCAGCTGGAGTTTTCGCCTGAGATGCTGAAGACGAATATCAAGGTGTTTATCGACTCATTGAAGAGGGACATTGCGAATTTAAAGGGCAAGGTGAGCAAGGATATTTACGAGGTGGTGAGTCGACAGAAAATTTCTTTGATCCAACATGTAGACTCGCGTTGCTAACAGATGCCGTAGGTTCTCAGCTCCACACATGGACCGGGATTCTCACTCAATGGAGAGTTCCGAGGCCCTGAGTCACTACCACCAAGTCACTTGTCGGGACCGTTGTAGATGTTGCATGTAGCCTATTATCCGTGTACAACCAATGTACCATAACGCTTCCGCTATGTTTATGCCTTGAATGACTTGAGAAGCTTGACTGCTTCGGCTGATTCCTCCATGTCCGCATAAATCTTCATGACCTTCATAACCCGTCCCGAGCCATGGGCACCAGCACTCTTGGCCTGTTGCAGCGCCGTGCTCAGATCCATCAGCAATGTACTCCGCACTTTGGCCACCCTTGCCGCCTGAGCCACAACAAACGGATGCTCCTCCATGTTCTTCTGAATCTCGAGGATAATCCGGTACTGCATGACCGTCCTCCTCAGCTTTGCAATTGACACCCCATAAGCCCCCGCATTCTCTTCTTCCTCGTCGTCCTCGTCGTCTTCATCCTCATCGCTATCCTCCACCTCCTCCCCAACAATAATGGCCTCCCTGCCCGCCGTCTCAATAACCAACTCCCCCTCCAACTCCCTCAGTCTCTCCTCAAACCCCACAAGCCGTCTTCCAGCCTCAATGTGGCCTCTCACGCTTCTCCTCTCCTCTAGGAACCCAGCCACCTCCTCCTCCCTAGCCCCCACCACATCCCTCAGTGCCGCAACTTCCTTCTCAAAGCCCAACAGCCCGACCCTGACTTCCTCCACCTTCTCCTCGCCGCCATGCAAGCTGTTGCCTAGGTTGAGAAAGTCCTGGTAATTGCTGTTGACGAGGTCGAGCAGCTCAGTGTTGAGGAGTTGGGAGCGGGTGCGGAGCTCGGAGCGGAGGTCTTCGAGGGTTTGGTGGCGGTTGGAGAGGGTGGAGAGGAAGGCTGGGGCGGAGAAGTTGGGGGAGAGGAAGGCGGAGCGGGGGAGGGGGGCGGCGAAGGGGAGGGTGTTTGGATCGTCGTCGTCGGATGAGGAGGTTGAGGAGGGGGTGTTTGAGCGCGAGTCGTTGATCTATTGAGAGTGTTAGAGGGGAGGGAGAGTCAATTCAATCGGAGAGGGAAAGGAAGAGAGGGATTGTTAGTATTCTTCTCCTTCTTGGACATACATAGAACTGACTCATGGTGGATAATGCTTGTCCATGGATGAATGGACACCTCTATCTCCCGTAGCTGACCTTTCTCGCGTCCCGTGTCAAAGCGCGCCAGCTGTCCCACGCGTGCGATGTGCAAATAACCTTATCGATTAAGCTTAAGCTTCGGAACCTGTTATCTAACCAAGCCCCTTAGTCGCGGAACAAAGTCACCTCCATTTCCACCTCCACCTCCCCCCCGACTGTGACATTATTAATCCAACCATCATTCACACTAGCCGAACCGCTGCTTTTCCCCGCGAAGGGGGAGGGGTAAAACAGGAGGCGTCATTACGACATATTCGCTAATCCTGTGTATTTTGGTCTCCCGAATCCTTCTCGCCTCGTGCTAGAATAGTGTTTGATTTGATTTGATTTGAGTTGATCTTTGATTCCTCGACACCCATGATAACCTCGGTTAGATTTTGCAGACCACTTACCCTCTCCAAAAGAATCATAGTAGGTGTCAAACGATCAAGTACAATGCCCTCTCTGCCTCAGCCCGACCTGCCGGCGCCAGCGCACCCAACTGTCGATTCGATGCTGAGTCGCAAGTTTGGAAAGGAGGTTGCCAATTATTTCTCCGGTGTGTGTGTGGTTCCCTTTCCGTCTGAATCCGCTTTGCGATTTGACAACCCCTCCACCCCACTACGCTCATGCATTCATCGCACTGGTATCTGATGAGAACAACAAGGCTCCCCGTTAAACCGTGTGTCTTTCCTTCGCAATGATCACACTTTTCTCTCCTCTGCTCTGAAACACCCTTCGTCCATCTTCCTTGCCTTCAATGGCGTCGAGCCCCTCCTGAATTCGCCTTCGGAATTTGCCCGTTTGTCCTTTGAGGATGTCAAGCCTGTGATTGGAGAGAATCCATTCGAGCGGCCCGAGGAGGATATGATTGCGCAGTATAACTCGTCCTTGTACTTGCCGCAAATCATCTTTTTGGGGCTGGATGAGCGGAAAGACGGACTGGTCTACAGGGAGCATTACAAGGGACAGCCGTGGTTTGCGGTGGATGTCACGCCAAAGGAGAGTGTGAAGGAGGCCGCCGAGAAGGTGGTGGAAAAGCTGACGAGCAGAGGGTTTGAGTTTAGCAAATCGATGAGACAGATGCATTTAGTTGCTGAAGAAGGTACATATCCTCCTACTATCCTGCACGCCATCCACGACTAGCTGCCCCATAAGATCTCCTCCCTAACCAAACCATAGCCGCCATCTACGCCGAAGCCCGCCACCTCCTCGACTGGAACGCCCGCAACCCTTTCTGCGCCTCGTGCGGCTACAAAACCCTCTCCGTAAACGCCGGCTTCAAACGCACCTGCCCGCCCAAAGACATCGCCTCGGCCGTCTCCAACGCCGGCGAGCGTCCCCCCTGCGCAACCCGCACCGGCATCTCCAACCTCTGCTTCCCACGCACAGACCCCACCGTCATCATGGCCGTCGTCTCCGCAGACGGCCAACGCATGCTGCTCGGACGGCAAAAGCGCTGGCCCCCCTACTGGTACAGCACGCTCGCCGGCTTCCTCGAGCCCGCCGAGTCGGTCGAGGAAGCCGTGCGCCGCGAGGTCTGGGAGGAATCGGGAATCCACCTCGGTAGAGTGGTGATTCATTCGACCCAGCCTTGGCCGTTTCCTGCAAACCTCATGATTGGCGCGATTGGCCAGGCGCTGCCGACGGGTGAGACTGTTCATCTGGGACATGATGCCGAGCTTGAGGATGCACGCTGGTTTAGCGCGGAGGAGGTCAGGGAGGGGCTGAGGGTGGGAACGAGTGCGTTGGGAGAGGCTGCTGGGCCCAAGTATAAGGAGGGGGGGTTGAGGTTGCCGCCTTCGACGGCGATTGCGAATCAGCTCATTACTGCGATTATGAATGGGTTCGCTAGTGGTACGCCTATGATTTGAGAGGAGGTTTCGGTTTGAAGCGGGGGGTTGTAAATGTAGGTTGTAGGTGTAGATATAAATGTGAAGACGATCTAGGCACCCGTGGCATGTTGAAGCATATACATGCTCCTGAAAACATGCCTACATCACGTCCGTGTGACCTTCACCGTTTTTCTGACTAGGAAGCAGAACTCAAGTTTGTATCGCGAGGACATGTTATTTATTTTTCATTCCAACAGAGTGTGGTACCGGTACCACGCGCACGCCAGCAAGCCTACTCCAACACGATATATTTCTTCAAGTGCTGGGGAATAGCATCATGCAGATTCTTCTGCTGCAGCCACTTCTTCGAGAACAGACGGTCTGCATAGCGATATGCGCCGTCGCAGAGGAGGGTGACGACAGTGTGTCCTTTGCCCAATTTCTCCGCGACCTCCTTTGCGGCGACGACATTGAGGCAAGAGCTAGCACCAAGGTAGAGGCCCTCTTCATCCAGACATCTGTATACCATTTCGATAGTCTTCTCGTCGCTAATGTGCAAGGAGCCGTCGAGGAGGTCAATGTCTGGTTTCAAATTGTCGGTAACGCGGCCCTGGCCGATGCCCTCTGTGATGGAGCCGCCCTGGCGTTCTTGCAGTTTGCCGCCAGACTGGATGTACGAGTGGAGGACGGAGCCGGGAGGGTCGGCGAGGAAGCTTTGAACGCGCCCGTTGCTTTTTTCCTTGAGATAGCGTGTTACCCCGGCCAGGGAGCCGCCAGTGCCCGTTGCGCAGGTGAAGGCGTCGATTTCGCCTTGGGTCTGGTACCAGATTTCTGGCCCAGTGGTCTCAATGTGCGCCTGCCGGTTCGCAACATTGTCGAATTGGTTTGTCCATACGGCGTTGTCTAAGCGCTCGGCATGCCGTTTGGCCTGATGGTTGTAGTTTTCTGGATTGTCAAAGGCAACGGCTGGTACAGGGTGGACTTCTGCGCCTAGGAGCCGTAGCAGGTCGATTTTTCCTTGTGACTGCGTGTTGGGGATGTAAATGACGAGCTGGTAGCCTTTGGAGCGGCAGAACTGCGCGAGGCCAATGCCTGTGTTTTCCAGCCGTGGCTTTCGATGACGGTGCCCCCAGGTTTCAACAGTCCTTGCTTCTCTGCATTTTCAACGACGAAGAGGGCGGCGCGGTCTTTTACGGAGCCGCCTGGGTTCTGGAATTCCGCTTTGCCGAGCACATTACAGCCTGTTTCCTCGGACAGTTTTTTGAGGCGAATGAGGGGCGTTTTGCCAATGGCTGTGATGGGAAGCGGAATTAGTAGTGTTGTCTTAATTTTTGCAGTCTGAGAATGGCTGACCGTCAATGAAGCCCCGTTGTCCAATGCCTTGGGCTTTGGAGATACCAATTGCCGTCTGGTGGGCAGCTTCGAATTGGCTGACGCTGTCTGCGCCCCGCCGCGCAGAGACTGCGAAGCTCCTCGCCGCTGTTCTAAACATTTTGGCCTGACGCCTGAGACTCAAGTTGAGGAAATCAAAAAAGAAAAAAGAAGAGAAGGACAGTCACGCCATAGCGCATGAATAGAGGTCCTCGGTTCATCGGCGAATGACGCGGATGTCGCAATCCTCAGTCCTCAGTTTCGCCGCGGGGGTCAGTCACCCCTGTCCGCCCGCAATTGGGTCTGTGCGCTTTTGGTAAACAATCAACACCACCAACGAGGGGCTGGAGTCGTTGTTGATATCGCCGTCAGACGACGACGTAACAGAAACACCACCGCTGCCGGCGCCAAGATATATAAATCAAGAACATGCCAGGACGACCAGCAGGATCGCGCTCTACGCGTCCTTCAACCGCCTCTACAGCGCGCAAGACGAGCGGCGGCGTCACCAAATCCACGCGTGCATCCGGGACACGACAGTCGGCCAATGCGGTCGAGATACCTGATGAAGGACCCGTGACTTCGTTGCGCACACAGATTGCGCAGGTGTTTAGCGATGCGCAAAAGACGACGGCGACGCAGAGGAAATTGGCGGTGCATCTGAGGAAAATACAAGAAGCATGCTGTTTCGAGCCACCGGATACTGGGAACAAGGGTGGGAAGAAGGGCAGGGAGCAGATTGAGGAAGATTTCGACGAGGAAGACTTCAACAATGAGGTGGGGAGGTGTGTTTTGAGGCTGTTAAATGTGAAGAAGAGTGAGCCTGCGGGAGACAGGGTCATTCGGTTCTTGGGCTTGTTCTTGAAGCACGCTTCGGAAAAGGGTGGGTTAGTCCGACAGTGGGCCACAGAGCGGTTCAACTGACGACGAATAGATCAAGCAATCTTCTCTGCTGGAACGGAAGAAGAAGGCTTCTTCGAGACGCCCAGTACCCGCCTTGTCAGACACATCCTCCTAGCAACCCACGCCTTTCTTACAGCAAAAGAGAAGACCGTACGTTACCGCGCAACACAAACTATCGCATACATCATTAACAACATCGCCACCCTCGACGACGACCTCTATGATATCCTTCGGGTTGGCTTCATGAAACGCCTGCGAGACAAGGACCCACCGGTCCGCGTTCAGGCTGTCCTTGGTCTGGGCACGCTTTTGAATGACGACGAAGATCAGCAAGAAGAGGAAGATAGCGACGACGATGCGGCAGGAGGTCTTCTCGAGAAGCTCATGAACATCATGAGCCATGACCCCAGCGCAGAAGTACGACGGGCCGTTCTTCACAACCTTCCAAGATTGCCCTCGACACTACGATCCATCCTCAAGCGAGCTCGTGACATGGATGCAACGCTGAGAAGGCAGGTCTATGGAAAGATTCTGCCCACAATCGGCGACTTCAGAAACTTGTCGGTCGTCGAGCGCGAGAAGCTCATTCGCTGGGGCCTACGTGATCGAGATGCCATGGTGCGAAAAGCGGTAGCTCGTCTGTTCAGCGAGAAGTGGCTTGAAGACTGTGAGTCGAGCCGCGACAACCGTCCAGAAGAAGAAAAGAAGCCTGGTGAGCTTCTTCTAGACGGCTCTTAACGGGTAGTAGACAAAGT